GGGGGGGGGGGGTGGCACCGGTGCAGTCACCACCCCCTTTTGATTCCTGGTCCACCTGAAATTTTAAATCCAGTGGCAGCAGCATTTCTAGTCAGGCAGTAGGGAGGGAGTCACTTGACTTCATGGTTTATTGTAATCTACTTTTTGCCTTCTAAGATCCTCATTCTACAGGTATTAATGACCATTTCTTCTTTTTAATGGTCTTGATAGTTCCACCAATCAAGCTATTCTTTGGTCTGCAATTTTGCTGTCTGTTAGCTGTTGCTGGTATTTCACACCCTGAACCTCTTAGTAAAGTTTATAGCTTATTTTTAACCAAAAAAACCGATGTCTTGTTTTATGTGTGATGATGCACCTCTCCATGTGTACACGTTTTCAAAGTTCTAGATCTCCCTATGGATAGGAATGTATCTGCATGTGAGTTGGTAGAAAAATGGGTTAATGAGGGAGTGGTGATTAGTATGAGAAGGGTGGAGCATTACATGCAGTCACCAGAAAATTAATTTTACATACAACTTTAATTTTTAAAACAAAGAGAATAAAGGACTGGGGTCTAAAGGAGAAAGAGAGGCACTAAGACAGATATACCCAGAAGACCTGTATGTTGTTTAAAATTCACTTTAATATTGTGAGAGATTTGTGGGTTTTGAGTATTTTTAGCACAAGTTTTTTAAATTTGTCATTTTACACATGCTAAATCATAATCGTAATCATATCCTCCTCAAGAAGTTACCAGGAAAAATATACATGCACTCTGTGGATTTTTTTTTATATATTCCACTTGATAAATTGGAGCATATGTTGGAAATTTTAGATGGTTGTAAACACTAAGGCTATGTGGAGCTTCAGTCCCTGATTCGATTTGGTAGAGATTTGGCCCGATTTGGTGGCTGAATTGATTCGAAAAGATTTGACAATTTAGACATAGACAGAGCTTTAAATGTTTTTTTGTGGTACCTAGAGGTATATAGGTGGCTCATGAATGCTGTGATGCTGGGGTGCATGGATTGTCCCACAGGAGCAGCAGACCCAGAAGTGGACCAGAAGTGCTTCCGGTTCACTTCCAGGTCCACCAGAGAGCACACTGGCCTCCCCCCCACAGCTCAGCAACTGGTGCTTCCTGGGTCTGGGGGCACACCTGGGATTCTCCTACCGCCGATTGCTGAGCTGAGGAGGTGCGGGGGTGGGGGGGGCCATACACTCCCTGGCAGACCTGGAAGTGTACTGGAAGTACTCTGGTCCTCTTCCAGGTTCACCACTGAGCATGTGGGGGACTCCCCTGCACTTGTGTGGGACGCTCCATCCACCCCAGCATAGCAGCATTCACATTCCATGCCTGGTACCTTGAGGTATGTAGAAAAAACATTTAAAGCTGCGTCTATGTCTGAATCGCTGAGTCTCTGAATCAGCATTGAATCTTCAGATTCGGATTCAGCCAAATTGAATCAGGGACAGTAATCTGAATCAACTAATTGAATCGTTGTCCCTGATTCAGGCTGAATCTGAATTTAATAGGGTCCGTTTCACACACCTCTAGTAAACACCTGTTATCGATAAGAGGGAAACATTGCTGATTTAGGGAACTACTGTATTTACCTAGGTCTTTTCTAAACTTGAATTGACAGTTTCAGTAGCTAGTGCCTCATGGTAAATGTAGGCTTGGAAAGGATCTCAAGATGTTAAGCAGTTCAGTGAAAATACTAAATAGTGGAAGAACTAGAACAGGCCCCTAGGGAACTCCACTCAGTACCTTCTTACAGTTTGATATTAAGTTCTTCATCGCGTATTTTTAAGCATGATTATTCAACCAGTTCTGAACCTACTTTACAGGAATTTCATCTATACTAAGGTGGTTAAACTTCCCTGTAGCCAGGGGTGCATCCAGCAGTGGCATGTAGTTCCTGGGGCTGCACACCATAGAGACCGCTTGCTGTAGGGCAGCCCCTCCAGGATCGCTGTGCAGGTAGTGTGGGCTGAGTCAGCTGTGCGTGGTGGCCCTACCATGTGTCAGAGTGGCCACTTGTTAACCACCCACAGGCTGCCAGTTGGACAGCCCAGATCTAGATTTTATTTGCTTAATTTATGAAAATGTCATGGGAGAGGGTATAAAAATACTCAGTCTTATTGCATCCCGTATTCTCCCTACCCCCATTCATCCATATTTCCTTTCGGTTTCTGAGAAGGAAATGAAATTGGTTAAGCATGGTCTGCTTTTGACAAATTCATGTTGGTTGTTTACTTACTTCCTTGTTATCCTTTAGATGCTTAGAAGTTGATTCATACATTCCAGTAGCTGTGTAGCCATCAAAGTTATTCTCTGGGTCTTCCATTTTCCTTTATAAACAGGTGCTAGATAGTCCCTTTACCAATAATCAAGGATCCTGAGAGCTCATTTTCAAGATGTACAAAAGACATTTTTCACTTAGTTTCAAACAAGCCTACTCATTTTTAGATGTTTTAGTTTTTCTCATATCAACACCATCTGAGTTCACTAAGATTTTCAAATGTGACTAGAGATTCGGTGCACTAATATTTGTGTCCAATCAGAGTCATTTTAGGGCATAAGGCAAACGATTGCCACTTTCTGAAAAACTGTGCCTCTGTGGTTTTTTTAAGTTTGATACCAAATCATTAGTGGTTTTGACAATTTTAGTCAAAATAATTTCTGAGATGAACTTTCAAGATATTGGCTTCTCTTGATTTGTATTTCAAGTTTGCATATTGTTGTTTGTTCATGTGAACATTTTCATATGCAGTTCACATGCACAAAATAATGTGTGCAAGTGTTTGATGAATTGTGATTGCTTTGCTGATGTGACCTCAAATAACTGTAATAAAAGTCAACACACATTGATACTGATTGTATGATTTTTTCTTGATTGTATGATTGCATGTTTTATCTTGAATTCCTGACTTTATTTACTTTGTGCAGTAGTTTACCATTAACTTTTTAATGTAAGTTCTAAGTTTACTGAGCCATGAGTCATGCAAAAAAAATGAAGACCAATTAAACTTTGTTTTCTAACTGCTGAAACTATCTTATGACCAGCTTTAAAGTAGTGAAGCAACTCTTGCTCATATTAGACTGCCTGTTGTGCAACACTTGTTTGCACAGCTATTTACCTGCAGGGTTTAGGGTGAATATTTTGTAGGTAACCAACAGAAACAAAAGTACTATTATACACTGCTTTTGTATGTGAGTCAAAAGGTTTTGCAGTAAACCTGGTGCTGATGTTCATGGTGAATGCATCTGTGGTTCATGGAGATGTGTAAACCTAAGCATATCCTTCTGCTCCATCTATGAGGCATTTATACTTGGCATGAAGTTGACTGCGGTGCCCTTCATTGCCTACAACGTGAGGGTTGTCCCTGGTCAGTATAAAATGTGGTAGGGTAGCCCTCAGTTGAACAAAATTTGAACATTCTTGGCTAATAATTAACTTTTTATTTCCACGATGCTTGGTATGAGTTATTATTTCTTAAGCTGTCAAGTTGCTTCACATGCAAGTGCCATCTGTTTCTTTTACAATTTGTAGCAATAGTCTGTGTTAATCTGCAACAAACTTTGTCACTCCCCTGTTTCTTTTTTGCTCTTTACAGGATTTGATATTCAATGGCTAGAAACAGTGATATCAAGTGGCTGAAATGAATATGAACACTATCTTAGAGGAAATGTTGATTAAAAGGTCGCAACAGAAGAAAAGGACTTCTCCCTTAAATTACAAAGAAAGACTTTTTGTGCTTACAAAGTCAGTGTTAACGTACTATGAAGGTCGAGCAGAGGTAGGAGATGTATGGTTTTATATTATGTTGCCTTTGCTGAGAGAGATGCTTGCTTTTTATTATTTGCTTTCTTCCTGCTGAATATCGAAACTGAGTGCTCCAGGTGTCAAGAGTGTGGATGGCACTGAATGGAGCTGTCATCCATCATTTCTCTGACACCAGTTTTACATAGCACAGCTTAACAGACATTTAGGTAATAAACCCATTAAAATACAAAAGTAAATAAGGATCTAAACAAGTAATCCCTAAAAGTATTTCAAGAACAGTGCTGCTCAAAAATAGTTAAATAGTTCTGTCCAAGTAGGACAATAATTCCAGCCCCTCGAGGAAAGGAAGCTTCAGCAGCTGTCAGATTATTTACAGGGTACTTTGCCACATCAGGCCTTCTGTTCATACCTGCAGGCTTTCTCATAGAGGTAGGTATGTCTGTTCTGCAACAGCACCATATAGAGCTATCTGAAGCCATCTGATCATTGCAGCATGGAAGTAAGCGTAACCTAATTCAATCTGCTTGTTTAAAGCTTGCTTGGATATTTCTACACACTCATGGCTTACATACAGTTAAGAGCCTTGAGTGACTTTATAAGAACCTTATTCTCCATCAGTCCCATATACAAAACCCTTTTACCCAAGTGTGGAAGTGGTTAACCTGGGCTAAGTGATATATTTGAGGATATGGGTTAAAGCTAGGACTCCAGTTTCACTTGGGCTGGTAAACCCCAGACACCCTTTGCATTGAAGATGCAGGCTTAATTACTTGAGGGCTGACAGCCTTCCACTGCCTTCTCACAACCCCCCTTACCATGTCTCTTGAAGGACAGACAAGATCTCCCATAATTTACTAGGCAATAATACTCAAGCAGCTTAGTTTACTGCCATGTAAAGAGCTATGGATAACTCTTCTAAAAGCCTAGCACTGTTTACAGATGAATACTTACCAGAGAGAACTCAGATTTGGGTATAAGTTCGTGTTGTGTCTTATTCTTGCCTACGTCTGGGTCTCAGTCACCAACGCTAGCACTGCAGTGAAGACAGAGCAATAGAAAGAAAGGAACTGGTTGCAGACACTGAGACAGAGTACAGCAGTAACAGTGTACTTTTTCATGCTTTCTGATGTGGGGGAAAAAAACTACATTAAAATATCCCGTGAGGCTGCAGTGCACATAAGCCAGAAAATGCTATGAATAAAGTTGCTTCTGAACATGTTCACTGTGACCCTTTTGTTTCCCTGTCCTGGAGACTTGTCTGTCTTCTTTTTTGTTTTTGAATGTAGCTAATGAAAGTGTAAAGAGAAACCAGCAATATTCTAATGTTATAAAATTCTTAATCTGTCTGTCTGTCCATAGCGCTTTATTCACGTTCTGACTGGCTGAATGAAACAGCCAATCAGAGTGCGAATAAGCATTTGGACAGGAGGTGGGGGCACAGCAGAGCGCTGCCATGATGGCGAGGAGGGTGGGAGCAGGAGGGAAGGGGGGAGCGGGCCTGGACGGGGGTGGCATGGGGCTCCATCTGTGCCCACTCTCCTGCCCTCCCATCATTCCTGATGGGCAATTGGCTAGTCTAATATAATAAAAGCCTTTGTCTGTCTGTCATTGGCCTATTTGGTTAAAAAGACCCATGGGCCTAGCCCACTAAACACATGTGGGCCGCCACTGCTGGGCGGCCAAGGTTCTGTCTGTCATTGGAGCGTTGCCATGATGGTGGGGACTGAGGGGCTGGAGCGGGGGGGGCAAGTCCTGCCAGTCCTGCTCCTTGGAGGCCTTGCCACTGCATCCAAGGGGTGCCCCTCACCCCCAGCGGACAGAGGTGGGGCCAGCTGTTTTGAAATGGGAGTGCCACCATGACAGCGGGGACTGAGAGACTGCAGCAGTGCTGGCTTTGCCCCACTCCCCCCAGGCCCTGCTCCTTGGAGGCAGCAGTGGCACGGCGTGCTGGTGGTGCAGTGCTGGCAGTGGTGCAGGGGGGAGCCCATGGGGCTAGAGGCGTAGCAGCAGGACCACAGGGCACTGGGTGGAGGTGCTCCGTCCCCACCTGCCTCCCTCTGCTGTCATTCATGATGGGCAATTTGCTAGTTTGATAGAATTTTGCCCTTACATTGTTATTTATTTCTCATGTATTGGTATAAATCATTTAACCATGGTAACTCAAATCAAGCTAAACACAGTTTGTCTTTGACAAAACTGGGCAAACATCATCATTGCTGTTGTCCACATATATTTAGCTCCAGCCACAGGATGCTTTTATAGTTTAGAATGACAGATCCTCCCATAGCCACTCCTCCCAGTGCTGCACCTGTCCAAGCCCTGTACCCCCCCTCCCCCCACCCCAAGCTGCCCCTGCCTGCCCCGCTTCTGCTTCTGGCCCACAGGGCCTGTGTCCCACCTTTGTATACCGCAGCCCCCCAATTTTCTGTCTAGCCCACCTCAGCCCCTCACTGGGAAGAAGCTGGTGCTACCCCTGGTTGCAGTGAATGTATTTAACTGCAAAATTTGAAGAGTGGCTCTAGCTTCAGGTGTCACAAGAGTATGCATGTGAAATTTGGGGTTTGTGGTGACTGTGGTTCTTTAGCTATTTGATGCCAAAAGACTTGAGAAAACAAAACCATTGTCCTTAAAAATAAATAAAGTTCCTTATTCTGAAGTTAATAAATATTTTACAAAACAAGCAACACAGGAAATTTAGTTGTCCCCTAAATCATTCTGTAGGAGTAAGAGAATAAATTCAGTCATTACAGTGAGAAACAGAGGGATCTTTAATCCTACAAATCCCAGTCAGTCCTAGGTATGGTGTTCTTAGAAAATGAAAGTAGGGTAGATTTGCACTTTGTGGATTTACTGAATGAGAGAGAGAGCATAAGCTTTTGTGAGCCTGAGCCTACTTGATCAGGTGCTGTGGAAAAGTGAAAGCATTCACAGCATCTGATGAAGTGAGCGCAGGCTTGCAGAAGTTTATTCTCTCTCTCTCTGATTTTGTCAGTCTACAAGGTGCTTCACCACCCTGCCTTCTGCCTGACTTTAGATTAACACAGCTCACTACTTCTTTCTGCTTAAAGAGGATTCCATAATGTGCGATTACAAGGCCTGGAAACAGACTTTGTAGATACTTAAAAGAAAATGCTAGTAGGATAGTTAAGTATCCTCAAGTATTTGTTGTGCATAGTAGACAGAAGTGGTTCCATGTAGATGAGTAAATACAGCAGTCAGTGCTTGGGAGCTGTGATCTTACCTGATCTATTTTCTGCAGTTGGTCCTGCCTAAGTAATTGAAGTTTATGTATATGCAAACATTTCCCTTCCCCCATCTATATAATAGAAAAGGCTTATCAGGATTATCAGCTTGACACAGTGAAACACAGTGAGGGTTGTGGTAAAGCTTTCTGGTGAGAAAAGATCTTTCTACTTAGAAACTTACTGTTACTTTATTTAAAACACTTTCATGACAGGAGTTTGGGAAATTCTCAAGTTGTGTGATATAATGCAGGCCCTGTTTCTACAATGAAACCCCAGGCCCTGCAGAAGAAGTAAAACAAGGTCTTAAAACTATTAACTGCCAGACTTGGCTTTGACAAACAGGTGATCTCCACTGAAGCAAAAGTTACTTTACATATGCCAAAGCTGAATTTGCCAGCAAGTACTTAATTCAGTTTCAGCTGAATGTGACACTCTATTTAACATAAAGCTTAACAACAAAAATGTCAATAATAGACACTAAAATTAAGAATACATAGGTTCTACACATAGCTACAAACCTCTGTCCTTTGAATATATCTGTAGACTGCAGCTGGATTAATTGACTGCTTTGCACCTTCCTTTTGAATGACTTGACAGAATAATATAGTAGAGTTGTTTATACAGGTGGTTAGCTGAGCCTGGTATTTTGCACTAAGCCTGCTACTGTCTGAAAATCAAGAGGGGGAACACCCAACATCTTCCTATTTCAATTCTTTGCTCATCAACAACAATTAAAATAGAGGTTTAATAGCTTTGCCTAGACAATTCATTTAATTTCAAGGGAAGTGAAGTGTAAGTGTCCCAGCTTAGAATCATGGAAACAGTCTGACAGGTGTGTGACCCCAGATCCCTACAGCCAAAACTTTCAAAAGTGGCCAGTGATTTTTTTTTTTTTTTTAATTACATTTAATTTGTTTAGGGCCTCATAGTTAGTATTTCCAGATCTTTGATACCCTGGCCCTGATTTTCAGAAGTGCTGTACACACATTTTCCATTAACCTCCTGAAAATAAGCCCCAAGGTGTCTGTTTGGACTCCCAGAAACAGAATTCCCAAAGCAGGAACAGTTTTTGAAAACTTTGACTCAATTGTTTAATTATAGAGGAATGATAACTTTAAAAAATGAGATTTATCAATATGCCCTCAGTTGTTTTGTATCACTGATGGAACAAAACAGCTGTAAACCTTTCTGCATTGAGTACATCTAAACTGTACTTAACTCTCGTTATTTGCAATTAAGTTACTCCCTCAACTTTGCACAGCGTGAGTATGAAAAGGCACTTGCATAACATTCAAGGTGCTGCATCCACACAGCTGCTGCATTCATGTGCGACATTAAAACTATTTGGGCACATAGGTACCGAGTATGTCGGGGCCTACAGGCCCTAGCCCCCATCAGGAAGAGGCAGTCCTGAAATAGGAACATCAGATCCTGGTCCCAGGGCTGTGTGACTCGGGGACAGCATTTGTCTCAGATTCCCAGTATCACACAGGGATCTGGGTTTTCCATTCATCATGGAAAAACTTGGGAAATGATGGGTTTCCCTTTGCAGGCTGGCAGAATTCCAGCCTGCAAGTGGCTGTGGGAAGCAGGACATAGGGGTGCTATAGGCCTGTGTGGGGTCTTGGGGGTGCGGCATGTGCCCCCCAGACTTGTACACAGTGTGGGGGCAGATGTAGGCTGCCTGCTGCAGGCTCAGAACTCCCTGCCTTGCTGCCTTCCCCCTGGGAGCCCCACACGGGCTGCACTGTTGTAGTGAAGCACCCCC